CCGCGCAAGCGGCTTTTTCCCGTAATGTCGGAAGATGTGCTGCAAACGAGAGGTTTTGGTGGACCGCGGGGAATTATGCAGACTGGTTTTGGGGTGAAACTGCTGTGAAGGTGCCCGGTGCCTCCGCATCGACTCCGGAGGGGAGCCCGGCCGGCCGGCACCGCCGCTCCCTCCGTGCCCCTTGGCCCGCAGCGCTCCGCCATCCTTGACATATCCCTCTCTTTTCCGCAGGGCAAGATGACTGGAATGGAACCAGGCCCTCCCTGAAGGCCCCGCCGGCCAGGCCAGTGAAGGGGGCCTACAGAGAGCACCCATACGGACGTTATTAAAAAACAAACATGAGGGAAAAATATCAGTTATGAGCAAACAGTTGTTACTGATTCTTGTATCTCCCGGGATTCCCGTTGCTTTACCCACACCAGACAAGTAATTGTCTAACTGTTTTTCTTCGTGGCCCTTTTTCTCCCACTCCATCCTCACCCTGCATTCTGGCTTCTGTACGTAGTATTTTAAAAATGAGTTAAATAGATTTAGAGGACCGACTTTAATTTTTTTTTTTTTAAGTGTGTAGATGGCTTTTCTTTCTTTGTTGTTTAGATAAACACAACTGTACCTTTTATAATAAAAAAAAAAGTTGAGTTAAAAATGTTAGTTTCAAAAGTGACATGCTTTGCTTAGCAGTTATGAAATTAAGGTTTTGTTAACCTTTTAAGTTTGGTTTTAAGGAACCCGTAAAAGTTGTAGTTGCAGAATCCCAAAGTAGGCTACATTTCAAAATTCAGGGCTGTTTTTAAGAATTAAAATCACAATGTAACGGTAGTAGCTGCCACCGTTTAAAAGTAACCTCAGTTGTCAAACTTTCCTTAAAAGCAGATTGCTGGTGAATCTTAAGTTTAAATTTTAATACGAAGGCTCCTCAAACAAATTAAATAGCATTTTTTAAAGGTAATTGACTTAAAAGGAAAAAAAATTAGGTTTGTAAAATTGACTTTTCTTATGTGGGTTTTGAAATCTAGCCCCGAACATGCAGTGTTGAGAGATGCTTGGGAAGCAGATTTTCCAGTGTAAAGGGGTTCTTAGTTTGGTTCTGTATGAAGAACTTTTAAGGGAAAAACAAATTAAAGCATGGCTCTGATTGCCCAGTGTTTGATATTAGAAACCAGAGTATTAAGTGAGTAGGTCTGAACTCTGTAAAATTACAGTCTTCTCATTTTTATAGTGCTTGGGGCAGATAATACAGTGCAAGTTTAAAACTGACAAAATTGTCAATATTAGCAATCCCATTGACTTGTTCAAGTGTATCTCAACACTAGCTTTGCATAAAAAGGGACACTGCAGCTGAAAAAATGAGGAAAAATTTCACTTTGTACATAGGATAAAGTCCTAATTGGATTTGTACACTGTCCTCCCACTCTGTTCTTGAAGATTAAATGCTACATGTGTAAGTCTGCCTAAATAGGTAGCTAAAACTTGTCAAAATGTCTGCCGCAGTTTGTCAATAAAGTTTAGTCCTTTTTTAATCAAAGTAAATGTGATGAATTGTCATTTTTTTTTTTGTTGAGCAATAAAATAGCTATTTTTTTTCAAATAAATTTAAATTAATGCTAAAGCTAATTGTCTTTTTAAAACATGGAGACATTCTAAAAATGGTGTTTTTTGTAATTCTCACAAAAAGTTTATCAAGCTCATTGAACGAGCTTAATTTTTTTTTAAAAAAAAAAAAAGAAAGAAAAATTGTTTTTCACCCCCTGGAAGTTGTTGAAAGCAGTTTGATCCTGATGGCAGAAATCTGACTTCAGTCTGCTGGAAAGTGTTTATGGTTCTTTGCTGAAATACTGATTCAGATTTCAGGTGGCCTCACAGTATTCCAGACTGCAGACTCCAGATTGAGTCTGAAACGGCTGGTTTAAACGTGACAAAATGAATGCTGAAAAATCCAAGGCTTAGCTGCCACCAGGAGGAGGAGGAAGTTTGCTTTCTGCTTTATGTAAACATCCCTAACCCCCTTGGCTAAGATGATGCCCTTCCTACTTTACAGTAGCCTTTACTTGGAAAGCCACTTAAAAACGTATCTCTGTTTGAGAAGGGTGCTGCAATTGCTCCTCATATCCTTCTGAGAGGGTGTGTATGTATACATATATATAAAAAATATAATAGTTTAAATTAAACTGTTTCTTAGAGACACATGAAAAATGGTTTGTATTTCCCATCTGCAAAATGAATCTGGCATTCTAAGGGGAGAGAATTAAACTGCTCGGGGGTGAAAAATAGAGCATTAGGAACCAAACTGCTTGTAGCAGTGCATGATTGAGGGGAATACTTTAAAACAAAAAGTTGTATTTGTAGATTGTTATTAAAGTGTAAATAACTGAATTTTCAACAATGGTTTGGAGTCAGCTTTCAGGGCATAATGTCTTGCTTGATGAAAAGATCACCCTATACCCCCCTTTTAAAGGAAAATTATCGCAGGAGAATCAGGATGTGTAAAGCTAACATGCATCGCAAAACCCAAAAGGTAACCTAAATGTCTGATTTTAATAGCACATTTCTCTTTTACATAAACTGTGACGGCAACTTGCATAAACTTTATTGAAACAATTCTTCAGATGTTAATTTTAATGTAAAAATTTGCAAAAAATGTTTAAAATAAACATTTTAAAAAAACCACATGCTTCTGCATAAATTAGCGATAACTTTAATAATGTGCCCTTTGAAAATGCACTGTAATGTAATGTGGGCAAAAAGGAATCGGCAAGCTTAAATATCAAAAGATGTAAAATGACAACGAATATAGATAGTCCTGCTACTGCCAAAAAAAAATTCTGCTCAGTTATTTAAAAATGTAAAATGATGGCCCTTTTTAGACCCCAGTATTGATATGTACTGTGAAATGTTCAAAGCTCAGCTTAAGTTGCATGTTTTCCTTCCTGTGTAATTGCATGCAGGAATCTTTTTCTTTTGATTTGTGCTTACATTAAAGAGACTCACAAATGTCTTCAATTTGCAGGAGTCAAGAGTACATCGCTATGAATCACTTGGGTGAAGATGAGCAGGGGCAACACAAAGTGGGTAAGTTTGTTTATTTTTGCAACCCCTTGCAAGCTGCTAACATGTTCTCTGTGGGAGGTGGGGGGCGGCACCATCTGAGCTGCTAAATTGAAGCCATTCTTTATATACCCACAAATAAATTACTCTTGTGAAAGGCCGGTTACATGACTGACACTCTTGCAGAGGTCATGGTGTGGAGGAGGCTTCAGTATGTACCTGCACAGAGCTCTCCCACCGAGATCCCTTGGAGAAGGAGGTTTAAGTGGATTTGAGGAGAGAGGGAAATGTGGTAAGGAGATCTGTCTGTTGGAGCTGGTTCCCGACTGAGATGCTGGCCTCCATGAGAGTGCTCTCAGCAGCAAGGTAGCGTTGAAGTTGTTGTTACCCCATGCTCTAGAAACACAGCAGCCCAAGGAAGGGCTCCATAGGAATTCCTATATGAGTCCATAATGCTTTAAAATTATAGACTGCAGGTTTTAGGCCAGGTGCTGCCCAGCTAGACCTTGCTAGCTCTACCCCTTCCATGCTCCCATCAACGGGCTCTGAAATGTGAAGCTGGCCGTTCTTTTTACGGCTTTTTGTCTGATGTCATTGCCAGAGATGGCTCAGGCAGTGGTCCTGCCGGCCTGGCTGGGACACGTTTAGCTCGGAGCCCCGCAGGGCTGCTCGCCTGCTGTCAGCGAGTGAAGACCCTGAGCCCTCGGGAGGGGTGATGGACCCCCAGCACCTTTGGGTGCTGGTGCCGGTCAACACCCGCGGTGGCGGGGCTCCCTCTGGCGGCTGCTCTGGCCCCACTGACTTGCTTGTTCTCTAATAAATACCTTAATAAACGCAGGCAAGTGCTTGCAAACCGAGCGGTACCTTGGTTGGGGAGATTATCACGCATCAGTGGAGTGACCTGCTTACACAGCAAGGACACATCTCCCGCCAGACCCAAAGGCAGCAGCCGTAAGCGTTTCCTTTGGGAAACTTTCTCTCAAATCTCGAGATCGCTGGAAGTCTGAGCTCCATAAATAAAAGAACAAAGAAATAAACCTGCGGCACACTGAAGAAGTCTAATGGCTTCAAAAGACAACCGTGAAAAGCCCTGGGCATAGGACGTAGAAGGACATAAGTCTTATTTTATATGGAATTGTAAAGCTACCAAAAAAGCTTCTCTTATCTTAGGAGTTATTAGGAACAAGAAAGCAGTAATATGTGGAAATGCCGCAAAAGAGTGAGATTACCCTCAATTCTTTGACTTGAAAATTGGATCTGTAGTTTTCTGCTAGGGGAAATCATAACATGTCTGGATTTGTGGCCTGTCTATTGAATGCATCTTCATTTACAATGTAATTGGAACATCAGTTTATATGGTGTTGTACCAATCTTTCCCATTTCTTTCTTAATAGGCACAGCTTTTATATCAAGTGGAAAAGATTTGATAGAGATCATCTATTATGATGCAGTTTTTTACCAGTAGAAGTGGATCTTGTGACACTGCCTTTGGAGTAATAGAGCTTGCTTGTGCATTGCGTTTGTTGCATGTTTATGTGAAAGATTTTAATGTTATGGAGGAATGTAAATCTTAATATATTGAAAATAACTGTATATGCCAAAAGTATTTTGAAAACATGCCCTGCATCAAACATCTTCCTCCCTCTCATAGCATTACTACATTCAGATTTTAGCCTAGAGTCTGCAAAAGCTAATTTGAGATCCCAAAATAGCCATCAGCATCGGATGTGTCTCTCAAAGATGCTCTAATTAGCCAGACATTCTGGGGGTGATACAGGACTCACTGAAATTTGTGAGGGGTAGAGATTCCTTTGAGTACTGAAGTCTGAGTCACCTAAATAACCTTCCGTTTTCTACTGACATGTCGCCACTGGAGGTAGTATTCTGCTGGCTGTGAGCTAACAAGCGCCAGTGATCTTTCATCTCCTGATTTCCCCAAAGGACTAATCCACATCCTATTATTTGTAGGATTTTGGCAAAGACCATAAACAAGATAAAGGCCCCCATTGTGCTGGGTACTGTACAGTGTGATGTACCGCATCAGTCACGTCTCCTCTGTGGAAGTGTTTCCCAACAATACTGTTCTTTTCAAGAGAAGCTTGGCTCTAGAAACATCCTCCTGCTGCAGAGCGCTCCGTGCCTCAGCAGTCCCATCTTCTCCGGCCCTTGCTCTAGGTCACCCCAGCTTCCTCAGCCTCTAGTCCAGCCCTTTGGTGTAAATACTCAGGCTGGCCTTGCTTGGAGCTGGTATAAACCTGGGCTTTACAACTTCCTCGGTGAGGTCCCACTGTGCATAGTGGTTCATAGACAGTATCTTGGAGAGCAACAGAAGTGTGAAACTGAGCTTGCAGGAAAAACGCTCCAACTGGTATTGCAGAGATGTCCCCAGCAGCTTTTCCTGGAAGGAGACTGTCATACCCTGCCCATTCCTTACCCCTGGTTTCGAGTTGCTGTTCGGATTATTAAATAAAGCAAATGGCTACAAGCTTTATTTTATAACTTACCTGTAGTATTTTTATGTTTAACTTAAAACACTGTGTTTTAAGTAAGGCAAAGACATTACCTTGATATGGCCCTCTGTAAAATTCCATATTTGGTAAGTTGGGTTTAAGAGCACAGCTGGATTCCCTGTTCGGCTGTTAAAACAGATGATTCTTTTTGTACAGAATGAGTCTTTAAATTTGTATGAGAGCATCTGTCACAAACAGAGCCAAGAAAAACAATTTAAATATGCATGTCTTCCCTTCCTCAACCCATGCCGCTGCTCTCCTAAAGAACGCTTGGGCAGAGGGTGATTCCTGCAGCCTGTGATAGAACCTCCACATGGCCCCAGAGAAGAGACCAGCTGTGACCTGTCTGCTGGGAGATGCAGAGGAGAACAGGCGGTGCTGCTAACACAGCTCTTCTCTCGACTGCGAGGAACAAGTACATATGGTGCTTTTGGGGAGGAAGACGGGGCTTAGGGAAATTCTTCTTTAATTGATAAACCTGTAACATCTTGGATGAGATGTTGGACACATTTGTAAGCTTTGAGGGGGAGGAATTTCTGCAGGCTAGTCAGGGCTCATGGGAACTCCCATCTCGAATGTAGATGTTACTCCTCTTTTTCTACTCGGGAAGCTCAGTTCCTGTGAGCACAGAGCAGAAACCTTTGCTGTTATTGCTCAGTTGAGCCTTCCATTGCTACCATATGTTTTAATAGAAGTGTTTGTTTCCACGCTCATTTCGCTCCTTTTGCAAAGTGGGATGAGTCTCCAATGAGCTGATTTCAGATCTGATAAAGGAACGCAGTTAAGATGCCGATCGCTTTGCTGTGGCTGGGAGATAGGAACCTGCCATCTCTTGGTGAGCGTTGGAGAACATCGGAGCCTCCCTGGCTGCCTCAAACCCTGGAGAGCAGCAGCTGCGTGTCCGAGTACTGAAATATAAAGTGTTTTCCAATGAAGCTGTTACTTTTACCACTGGCTTTAGAACC